GGCCATTTTTGGGTCAGTTTTTGCTGAGTTTTTGGGGCTATTTTGGCCATTTTTGGGTCAGTTTTTGCTGAGTTTTTGGGGCTATTTTGGCCATTTTTGGGTCAGTTTTTGCTGAGTTTTTGGGGCTATTTTGGCCATTTTTGGGTCAGTTTTTGCTGAGTTTTTGGGGCTATTTTGGCCATTTTTGGGTCAGTTTTTGCTGAGTTTTTGGGGCTATTTTGGCCATTTTTGGGTCAGTTTTTGCTGAGTTTTTGGGGCTATTTTGGCCATTTTTGGGTCAGTTTTTGCTGAGTTTTTGGGGCTATTTTGGCCATTTTTGGGTCAGTTTTTGCTGAGTTTTTGGGGCTATTTTGGCCATTTTTGGGTCAGTTTTTGCTGAGTTTTTGGGGCTATTTTGGCCATTTTTGGGTCAGTTTTTGCTGAGTTTTTGGGGCTATTTTGGCCATTTTTGGGTCAGTTTTTGCTGAGTTTTTGGGGCTATTTTGGCCATTTTTGGGTCAGTTTTTGCTGAGTTTTTGGGGCTATTTTGGCCATTTTTGGGTCAGTTTTTGCTGAGTTTTTGGGGCTATTTTGGCCATTTTTGGGTCAGTTTTTGCTGAGTTTTTGGGGCTATTTTGGCCATTTTTGGGTCAGTTTTTGCTGAGTTTTTGGGGCTATTTTGGCCATTTTTGGGTCAGTTTTTGCTGAGTTTTTGGGGCTATTTTGGCCATTTTTGGGTCAGTTTTTGCTGAGTTTTTGGGGCTATTTTGGCCATTTTTGGGTCAGTTTTTGCTGAGTTTTTGGGGCTATTTTGGCCATTTTTGGGTCAGTTTTTGCTGAGTTTTTGGGGCTATTTTGGCCATTTTTGGGTCAGTTTTTGCTGAGTTTTTGGGGCTATTTTGGCCATTTTTGGGTCAGTTTTTGCTGAGTTTTTGGGGCTATTTTGGCCATTTTTGGGTCAGTTTTTGCTGAGTTTTTGGGGCTATTTTGGCCATTTTTGGGTCAGTTTTTGCTGAGTTTTTGGGGCTATTTTGGCCATTTTTGGGTCAGTTTTTGCTGAGTTTTTGGGGCTATTTTGGCCATTTTTGGGTCAGTTTTTGCTGAGTTTTTGGGGCTATTTTGGCCATTTTTGGGTCAGTTTTTGCTGAGTTTTTGGGGCTATTTTGGCCATTTTTGGGTCAGTTTTTGCTGAGTTTTTGGGGCTATTTTGGCCATTTTTGGGTCAGTTTTTGCTGAGTTTTTGGGGCTATTTTGGCCATTTTTGGGTCAGTTTTTGCTGAGTTTTTGGGGCTATTTTGGCCATTTTTGGGTCAGTTTTTGCTGAGTTTTTGGGGCTATTTTGGCCATTTTTGGGTCAGTTTTTGCTGAGTTTTTGGGGCTATTTTGGCCATTTTTGGGTCAGTTTTTGCTGAGTTTTTGGGGCTATTTTGGCCATTTTTGGGTCAGTTTTTGCTGAGTTTTTGGGGCTATTTTGGCCATTTTTGGGTCAGTTTTTGCTGAGTTTTTGGGGCTATTTTGGCCATTTTTGGGTCAGTTTTTGCTGAGTTTTTGGGGCTATTTTGGCCATTTTTGGGTCAGTTTTTGCTGAGTTTTTGGGGCTATTTTGGCCATTTTTGGGTCAGTTTTTGCTGAGTTTTTGGGGCTATTTTGGCCATTTTTGGGTCAGTTTTTGCTGAGTTTTTGGGGCTATTTTGGCCATTTTTGGGTCAGTTTTTGCTGAGTTTTTGGGGCTATTTTGGCCATTTTTGGGTCAGTTTTTGCTGAGTTTTTGGGGCTATTTTGGCCATTTTTGGGTCAGTTTTTGCTGAGTTTTTGGGGCTATTTTGGCCATTTTTGGGTCAGTTTTTGCTGAGTTTTTGGGGCTATTTTGGCCATTTTTGGGTCAGTTTTTGCTGAGTTTTTGGGGCTATTTTGGCCATTTTTGGGTCAGTTTTTGCTGAGTTTTTGGGGCTATTTTGGCCATTTTTGGGTCAGTTTTTGCTGAGTTTTTGGGGCTATTTTGGCCATTTTTGGGTCAGTTTTTGCTGAGTTTTTGGGGCTATTTTGGCCATTTTTGGGTCAGTTTTTGCTGAGTTTTTGGGGCTATTTTGGCCATTTTTGGGTCAGTTTTTGCTGAGTTTTTGGGGCTATTTTGGCCATTTTTGGGTCAGTTTTTTGCTGAGTTTTTGGGGTTCCCCAGAGCGGCCGGGGCCCCCCCGGAAGGTGCAGGTGAAGGAGGTTTGGGGGTTCAATGCCCTGCTGGAGTGGGAGCCCCCCGAGGACGACGGCAACGCCGAGATCACCGGCTACACCGTCATGAAAGCCGACAAGAGAACCATGGTGAGGGTCCTGGTGACCCCAAAAACGCCTCAGGACACCCCAAAAACACCTCAGGACACCCAAAAACACCTCAGGACCCCCCAAAACGCCTCAGGACCCCCAAAAACACCTCAGGGACCCCAAAAACACCTCAGGACCCCCCAAAACGCCTCAGGACCCCCAAAAACACCTCAGGACACCCCAAAAACACCTCAGGACCCCCCAAAAACACCTCAGGGACCCCAAAAACACCTCAGGGACCCCAAAAACACCTCAGGACCCACAAAAACGCCTCAGGACACCCCAAAAACACCTCAGGACACCCCAAAAACACCTCAGGACACCCCAAAAAAACCTCAGGACACCCAAAAACACCTCAGGACCCCCCAAAACGCCTCAGGACCCCCAAAAACACCTCAGGACCCCCAAAAACACCTCAGGACCCCCCAAAACGCCTCAGGACCCCCAAAAACACCTCAGGACACCCCAAAAACACCTCAGGACCCCCCAAAAACACCTCAGGGACCCCAAAAACACCTCAGGGACCCCAAAAACACCTCAGGACCCACAAAAACGCCTCAGGACACCCCAAAAACACCTCAGGACACCCCAAAAACACCTCAGGACACCCCAAAAAAACCTCAGGACACCCAAAAACACCTCAGGACCCCCCAAAACGCCTCAGGACCCCCAAAAACACCTCAGGACCCCCAAAAACACCTCAGGACCCCCCAAAACGCCTCAGGACCCCCAAAAACACCTCAGGACACCCCAAAAACACCTCAGGACCCCCCAAAAGACCCCAAAAGCCCCAAAAACCTCTTCAAGGTTCCCCCAAACCCCCTGAGGACCCCCCAAAATCCCTCAGGACCCCCAGAAAAACCCTGAGGAACCCCCAAAACACCCTGAGGACCCCCCAAAAACCCCTGAGGACCCCCAAAACCTCCTCACAACCCCCTAAAAGACCCCAAAACCCCCTGAGGACCCCCCAACAACCACTCAGGACCCCCCAAACCTCCTCACAACCCCCTAAAACCCTCTCAGGACCCCCCAACAACCCCCAAACCCCCTCAGGACCCCCCCAACAACCCCCAAACCCCCCTGAGAACCCCCAAACCCCCGTCTCCAGGAGTGGTTCACGGTGTACGAGCACAACCGGCCGCTGCGCTGCACGGTGTCGGAGCTGGTGATGGGCAACGAGTACCTGTTCAAGGTGTTCAGCGAGAACCTGTGCGGGCTGAGCGAGCAGCCGGGGCTGTCCTGCAACACCGCCATCATCCCCAAAGCCGGTACCCCCGACTTGGGCTGTTCTTGGGGGGGTTTGGGGGGGTTTTGGGTGTTTTTTGGGTGTTTTTTGGGAGTTTTTGGGTGTTTTTTGGGTGTTTTTTGGGGCGGTTTTGGGTGTTTTTTGGGTGTTTTTTGGGAGTTTTTTGAGGGGGTTTTGGGTGTTTTTTTGGTGTTTGTGGGTGTTTTTTGGGTGTTTTTTGGGTGTTTTTTGGGTATTTTTTGAGGGGGTTTTGGGTGTTTTTTGGGTGTTTTTTGGGTGTTTTTTGGGAGTTTTTTGAGGGGGTTTTGGGTGTTTTTTTGGTGTTTGTGGGTGTTTTTTGGGTGTTTTTTGGGTGTTTTTCGGGAGTTTTTTGGGTGGTTTTTGGGTGTTTTTGGGTGTTTTTTGGGAGTTTTTTGAGGGGGTTTTGGGTGTTTTTTGGGTGTTTTTCGGGAGTTTTTTGGGTGGTTTTTGGGTGTTTTTGGGTGTTTTTTGGGAGTTTTTTGAGGGGGTTTTGGGTGTTTTTTGGGTGTTTTTCGGGAGTTTTTTGGGTGGTTTTTGGGTGTTTTTGGGTGTTTTTTGGGGGTTTGGGTGGTTTTGGGGTGGTTTGGGGCTGTCCTGCAACACCAACATCATCCCCAAAGCCGGTACCCCCCATTTGGGGTGTTCTTGGGGGGGTTTAGGGTGTTTTTGGGGGGATTTTGGTGTTTTTCGGGTGTTTTTTGGGTGTTTTTTGGGTGTTTTTGGGGTGTTTTTAGGGGGTTTTGGGTGGTTTTGGGTGTTTTTTGGGTGTTTTTTGAGGTGGTTTTGGGGGGATTTGAGGTGGTTTTGGGGGGATTTGGGTGTTTTTTGGGTGTTTTTTGGGTGTTTTTGGGGCGTTTTTCGGGGGTTTTGGGTGGTTTTGGGTGTTTTTTGGGTGTTTTTTGAGGTGGTTTTGGGGGGATTTGAGGTGGTTTTGGGGGGATTTGGGTGTTTTTTGGGTGTTTTTTGGGGAGTTTGGGGTGATTTTCAGGTGTTTTTTGGGTGTTTTTGGGGGGTTTGAGGTGTTTTGAGGGGTTCTGGGTGTTTTTGGGGGGTTTGGGGTGTTTTGGGGTGATTTTGGGGGGATTCGAGGCGTTTTTGGGGGAGATCAGAGGGATTTGGGGCAGCCCCGTGATCCCCAAAATCACTCCTGGCATCCCCAAACCTGTACCCCAAATTTTGGGTGGATTTGGGGCAATTTTGGGAAAAATCAAAGGGATTTGAGCAAATTTTGGGTGAATTAAATTCGATTTGAGCAGATTTTGGGTGAATTAAATTCGATTTGAGCAGATTTTGGGTGAATTTAAAGCGATTTGAGCAGATTTTGGGTGAATTAAATTCGATTTGAGCAGATTTTGGGGAAAATCAAAGGAATTTGGGGCAATTCCCGATTCAGAAAAAAACCCCCAAAAACCCCAGGAGCACCTAAAACCTTAATTACACCTCTTAATTAACTAAAATACCTTTAATTACCGAGCAAACTGAATAATTTAGGCTCAATTCTGAGAACCCAAACAGAACTTTGGGCTCGCCCCGACCTTAAACCCCAAAAAAAACCCCAAAAAACCCCAAAAAAACCCCAAAAAACCCCAAATTTTGGATCCCAACAATTTTTATTTATTTTTTTTTAATTTTTTGTGCCCCTAAATGTTTTTCGGGGACCCCCCCAGAGCTGAGGTTGAAGCCCCCCCAGTACCAGGAGCGCGATTTCCGCTCGGCCCCGCGGTTCCTGACGCCGCTGGTGGATCGCAGCGCCGTGGCCGGATACTCCACCGCCCTCAACTGCGCCGTCAGGGGACACCCCAAGGTCCGGGGGGGTTTTGGGGGGGGATTTGGGGGGTTTGGGGGGAGATTTGGGGGAGATTTGGGGTTTTTGGGGGAGATTTGGGGTTTTTGGGGGGGTTTTGGGGGGAGATTTGGGGTTTTTGGT